ACCTGGTGAGACAGGCGGAAAGACAAACAGCAGCAGGAGCTTTCTCCTCCAAACCCTGAGTTTGGCCCCTGAGCACGGGGAGGGGGCAATTGGAGTTTCCCACGTCCATTTACCAGGCAGCAGAGAAACCCACTGCTCCTCCGTGCGGGAAGGCAGTGGGCTCAGTGCGTGCTCCGCTGCTGCCCAAGGCTCGTCAGGGGTTCAAGCTCTGTGAGCTGCAGCGCCCATCCCAACCAGCATCCCAGCCCCTCCTGGACCCACCTCCTCTGGGGCGTGGGTACTCTGTTGGCCGGGACACAGCGGGCAGCAGAAAGCCTTGGCCTCTCCTGGGCGGCCCAACGGATTCTACATCGTCGTATATCTCATCTCCATCCCTGCGATGAGGAACTGCAGTGATGGCGCTGGAGGACCAAGGGCAGGATGTGGGGCAGAGCGGCATGGCAGCTCTGAGCCGTGGGGCAGCAGCCTGGGGTGCAGGAGGTGGGCGGTGGAGTGCGACAATAACGCAGCCCATGAGGGATGGAGCTTTGCACCACGGGAGCTGCCCGCTAAGGTGCACTCTCACACCGGGAGCGGGCAGGAGAACCCTTGCTGCTCTCTCTTGTGCCCTTCCCACCAAGTGGGGACAGCCTGGAAGCCACCTAGAATAAAAGCGCTGCCGCAGTCCTTACCCCATCATGTTCGGAGCGTCCCGCGGTGGGAACCGTGCCGGGGCTGATGCAATGTGGCCTGGTTTAAGGTAACCTGTGGTAAAAAGAGGACCGGGAGGGAGAAGACAGGGACTATCTCACATTTTATCCTCAACTGTGTCACCCACCGTGAGGGCAGAGGTGCGCTGGGCTAGACTGAGTGCAGAGGGATGCAGGGAGATGGAGCTGACTGGATCCAGTCAGATAAAACATCTGGATCCAGTGAGGAGTTTTTACTCTGTGGCCCATCTGGGTGTTTTCTTTTCTCCCAGAGGCTCATTGGGGAGCTCACTAAAGAGCTTTAATATATATCAGTTCTGGGCAGATTTTCCTTCCTGAACAAGTGGCATCCTTCTCTGGGGGACTTGCCAGTGCCTGGACATACCCAGCTGAGCACTGCGTGGTGGCTCCGTGGCAGGACGGACCAGCGTCCCAGGACGTGCAGCTGCTTTGAACTTCTCCAGATCCACGACCGGAGGGCGCCTGGGCTTGGCTGGCCTCACTCCCAGCACCTTGACCTGTGGCAAAGGCTTCTTACAAGGCAGAGTTGGGCGTCCT